TATGATGCGCTCAGACCCCTTCGGATAGGCCATGCATTTCTACCACACGCGGAATCCCAACAAGAACCAACTAGCAGCCGATAACTCATCGGGCTTTACAGGGTGGGATAAAATTATGGTAACCAAGACATTATTTCACTAAAAAGGAATATTAGCCTAATGAAACAAACCGACTTCAGGAAAATTTTAGCCACTAGTATCGCAACACAGAGCTAAATTGGGTTTGAAATCTGTTGACAACCGCATTAATGGAGGCCTTCTAATGAAGACGAGCCGCGTGCACGCAGGTGAGACCTGTCCAAATGATTCAAGGTTTTTTGTTGTGTTCTCTTCAGTAAACCAGACTTTTCTTGGGTTTTAGCTTGCACTTGGCTCCAGGCTTATCGTGCAGAAGATCCAGTGAAAGTCGATAAGGGATTTCTAAGTAACAGTTACTACAAGGCTATGTATGAACACAAAAATCTCTTCTTGCGGGATTTTTGCCTTAAGACAAAGTGCCCTGTCCTACTCTACTGGAACGTCCAAAGAAATGTACTCATATGGGTTTTAATTATGATAGACATTGGATCTTAAGAGAATCTTGTGGCCTTTTACACAATTTTCTCGCTTAAGCGATACGAAAGTCGTAAGGAGGGGAACGAGATTTTGCATATAATATTTGTCCCGATGGTAACTGTAACCTTTGAATCTCTTTCTTTTCCATCTTAGGTGATTCCTACAGTATTGAAACTTTTAACCATTACCCATAAAAGCATCTTTGTCAAGTTAAAGTGTCGCTAGATGTAGCGTGCCAAAGCCCCTTGTCGGTTCAAGTGAGGATGGCATAGCGTGATGTGGTTGTTTCACTAATTTTGAGGACTCTATGATATTTGGTTTCTTTATAAATAAGACATTGCCCTCTATCACATTATACCCAAAAGTATGAGGAAAGTGAATAGATAAAGAAAAAAGAGAGGTTGATTCGCGCACTCGCGGTTACCATAATTTTGACCCGCCCTGTATTTCGATGGGCGATTCAGCTACTATCCTTATGGTAATGGAACGTCGAAGAGCAAAATAAGTGGTGTTCCCAACCCGAAATTCGTTACTGACGATCATGGGAGGGTAGCTTGTGGCTGCCGACGGTGCTTGAAATCGAGTCGAAAATTGGAAATGGCTGTCGCGCTCTTGGCTCAAGTTTCCTCATTTGCTGAAGATATAGCTACAAACCAAACGCTATTCCATGAACGGCGTCCTGTGGTTGTTCCCTGGACATAAATTCGAGGCGGATTGTGTCCCGGTTGGTGTGACTTCCAGGCCAGTCCTTGTGGACGTCAAAATAAGTGAAAAATGTGGTCTGTATCGCTGCGGATTCAACAGACCAATAAGCTGCTCATAAGCATGTCAGATCGGCGCCTTCTACCAAAACGCTGCAACACCGGTTTCCAGTTCGACGCGAAAGCTGTTTCGCTCCCGATTCGCAGCTGGAAAGTGGTCTAGTTGTGCCGCGACCAAATATAGAACCGTCAAATGGCATTAATTCGCACCGTCGCCCAGCTGCTCAATGCACTAACATCGACTGTGACAGTTGTCAACAGAACATTGCGGATGTTCTGTAATTATGGATGAGAGCCCTCTGAAAGCCGTCAGGTACATGAGTTAGCCAGTTGGAAGTCTGAAGCACTGACGTATTCAACGTCCGTCCTATCCATCACTCCGACCTACTCTCCCCAGATTACCGTTCAGACTTGTGTACTTTGTTCCCCAAACCCCCATTTTTGTTCGGAACCGGTAATAGTTATTTTGATGTTTCGCGGGCATTGATCTAATCAAGCATTGGCCAATTGACGTCTATGAAGGCAGGCGGTTCTATTTCCACAGAGCCTTCCAATTCACCCGCATCCTCCACGAAGACCTTCCCAGGCCGCTGAGGCTAACTCTGCTTCCTTGCTTATTTGTAGGATGTTCCACACAGCGAAATCAAAACTCCATCCCTTTTCGAAGCCTCCAGCTCAAAAAAAGGAGTTTCGCCGACAAGTTAGTCGATCAGCCAAGTGCCAAACACTTTTGCACGTATTTTGCCGATTTAGCTCTTGTGTGTTAGGTATAGAATACGTGCGCATGGTGAATCCAACTCCTTTGGACACTTTGGACACTTCTAGAGCAGATTTCCACTCCTCTCCTAGGTAAAATGGCACCAAGCATCATGTTAAGGAAATTCCAAATAAGTGAAGTTAGCATTCCGTCGGTACAGAACATATGCGTTCTTCGTCGTTTCGATTTGCATTAGCGATAGCGTCGATCAGGTCGAATCAGACTTCGATCATGTCGATCGCTATCGCTGAAAAATGCCGTCGCACCATGACTTAGTGCACTACTTCTGAACGTCGCTCGAGTTTTTACGGATCACCGGGTCATCGCCCTTTCGAGACTCCCAACCCCCTTACCGAACAAGAGCAGAGAACTAGATCCTCTCCAATACAGACTCTCAGGACTACATTTTCCTTTCTCATGTCCACCCAGCGCCCATAGCTTGCACTTGGTGGCTTATCGTTGGTGTTTAAGTTCGTGCTTAACGAAACTACTCTGAAGCTTATCTGCACACTTCAAGTCACTCCTTCTGCTATTCGAATAAGAGACAGGTTCCCTCAGTTTTGCAACATTCCCGTTCCCGAAACAGCCGGCTGCGTATACAGCGCGCAAGGGAAGAAGTTACTGCTGCGACTGCTTGCGCGACTCGTTCGCCCGAGCGCCGTTGCGTGTGAAATTTGGGTGTGGTCGCGAAAATACATGGATAACACCATGTGTCGCTTATGAATCGGGTGACAGGTTATCGACGAATTCCGACATGCTTTGAGACTTCTTCAAGCGTTTCGTTGAACTGCTCATCATCTCCGTTTTTGGTGTGAGTTCTGATCAGGTGTACTCTAGAAATTGCGATGCAATGAACACCCAGTGACTTCTGCTACGGAATGCCACACAATCCTTGATCTTCTTCCACGAAAGAATGTGAACTATTAGAATCCAAGTCAGACCTCTTGCCACTGATCGCTCGTTTATGTTTGTCTTTTGTTCACCAAGAATCTTATGCGCCGTGCACTTATCGTCTATTGAAGTTCGTGAACGGCTTCCCTAAAGTGCCCTACAACCCACCGCTTCTAGCCGTGGGACACTCTAAAGACCCAAATCCACACCTAGTTTTGAATATATTTGATTTGGAAGATAAGATCTCTTTACTGAAATTATTGACCTTTGAAAAATGGGTCATTCAAGAGGAAGTGATCGAGGTATTCTAATGAAGTACTTTGCTGCTGCAGTCATCAAGCCAAAGAAACGCTTGCTGCCGAAACGAAAGTTCCATTTAGTAAAATTTACTACTATAAGGGTACATTCTCCAGCAGGAGCCGCAAGCCCCATGTAGGATTTTCAGAGCACTCATGTATCCTCACCTGAGCAGTCCTATGAGAAAACCCACCTACCACAAGAGAGCATTCACAACTACCAATTTGGACCTACCTCGAGAAGCGGTGTCCTGAGTTTACTTTGAGCAAAGTTACTCGGTAAAAACAGCGATTGTTTTCTGCCGGCAGTCTTTGTTTGCTTTTTCGGAGATATATCACTGGCCTGTTTTCGGTCAGCGCAGCGTTTTGCCGTTCGGTTAGCGCGATTGTTTTGTCTGACTATGATGACTGATGTGATTTGGGCGAATCGAATTCGCGCTCAGCTTCTTTTTTCACGGACCGATCTTTTCGACGCACATAGCTCTCTTCCAAGCTGTTTCACTCCACAAAAATTCATTTTCACGTTTTTGTCTGATTAACAGCCATTCCCACATATCATTTCATTTTTCCCCGGGGGATCACTGAGCGAAGATCGAAAAAAAAGAAGAAAATGACAGAGCAATAGTATTTTCCTCAAGAGTGACGCTGCTCGTAAAATATATAAACTGGGTGAATAACAAAAAGAAAGAATGTGCGCCACGTATTCCTCTCTGACCAGAGTGGCGGGGCAATTGAATGGTCATTTTTGCACATTTGCACTGACAATGAGTGACTAAAGTCTTGCTATGCATAATCGCTGCAAAGTAACAAGGAACATGTGCAGAAAGAGAAATCGAGTTCACGAACCTTTTTCAATCTATTGAAGAAATAACTGTGAAGACGTTATCGATAAAAACCAACTCGTAGCTCGCTCTGTTTTCATAGCGTCTCTTGACCTTTGCGCTGGGACGTGTTCTGAAGAACCACAATATTTATATCTACGTTGAGGCTTTACGATAGATAAATGTGTAGCACAGATCAAGAAAACATCCAACTAATAAAACCAGAATTGCTTTCCGTTTTGTTTTGTTTCCCACTTCAATTCACTTGTAATCTTATTATTTGATCACGCAATCAGCAGAAAATTTTTTGAAGCCCATTTCAAGTAGCACCCTAAGAGCAACGATTAAATGCCTGAACAAAATCAAGTGTGAACAGTGAAGAGGCAAAGGCTCGTCAGCACGTGGTGTTACAACTAGCAAGGGTTCATATTCGCGCCGCAAAAACCTCAACAAAGGAGATCACTCGCTGATCATGTCAGTCTGGTCAGTTACTTGTCTCGTGTATGAAGGGATGTTCGACAAGTACAGCTGTTTCAGTTGTGTTTTCTAATTCAAGGCCTTTTGAACAATAGTCGGGCAGTGAAAACTCATCGCTGGCTTACGCAAGGCAGGCGTTGCAGGCGCTGTGGCGCCTGCACAACTCTTTCGATGGAATTCCCCGCCTGATGGTTTAGTTACTCATCCTAAAAAGCAATTTGTAGCAGTACAAGGTTCCGTGAATCGCCAGATTAAAAATATTCAACCGCAGGGAGAAGTCCCATTTTAATGCTTCAAGGGCTTCTATCGAGGGCAAAGGAGTAGCAGGCTGCGCGCTTATAGCCCAACAGCCCGCTTTCAGCTTCGTGGCACAGATGCTTTCAGGTGCTCCAGAATGATTTGATCGACAATATTCAGATTTCGCATATGCACTGACTGTCTGATGCCAAAAAGGGCTCTCCTCCAGTGTTTTCTGATGCTGGTGTGCTGCTCTGAGCTCGCACTCAATCGCAAATGGCACCCTTACAAAGGACGACGATACGATCTCACGCTATTCATTCGGTAACTAGTCCTCTGGGAGTAGCGTCACACTCGGCCACCCGCGTCACATCTACTGCATTATAGGAATCACAACGTGACCGACGCCACATTCTTTCGACTGGTGGGCGTTGACAACACGGCCGACTTCAACGTGACCGCTGGCAATACCTTCGAGCACACATTTGAGGTGAGTTTCGGGACGAGTATTGCGGCATGCCAAGCATCTCCTCATCTCGTTCAGGTACGACGGAAAGGTTACTGGACGCTTTTTGTCGAGTTTCCAGGGGATCGGTATGCCAAATCACCGCGAAAGGTAAGTATGATACTTGCGTTCGGATTGCTGTTTTGAGTACTTTGATCCCATGATGAACTACTGCGACTGTTTACCCATTGAAACCCTAGAAAACAGGCGACATTTCTGGATTGTGAATTCATAGAAGTTTTTACAAGTGATTGATCACCTTTCTTAATGAAATGAACATGCCCCAAAAAGCGTTCTTAATATGTTATCACCCGACTGCAGACAAAACTGACTAGAATCCAACATAAGATTTTCATGTGGATGCCGCTGCACCGAGTTTTTGTCACATGCACACATGTCGTTACATTTCTTTCTTGAGCCTGTTTGGACAATTATGAAAATCTACAGGAACATTCGTGGAGTGATAAATTGGATTTGAGAACAACTGCAATGACCAACGGAGGGAATACCTCATACCGATCTTGACAGACGATAGGCAAATTCTCAGAGATCACACTACACCGGATGTGGGGACGGAGGGGGGGGGGGGTAAAAAGCCATTTTGCCCATGGTGCACGTCAGCAACGTTTAGTGCCCCGATATCCCTTAAATGTCCCCTATAAGCAGAAACAGGCTCTCCATCATTGCTCTGATCGAAATATGACGTCATCTAACCGGTCCACTGGTGAATAGTTTCGTAGAAGCGGTAGCTATGAGTATGCAGATCCACCCTGACCAGCGTTTTTGGAAGATCGCAATGGTTCGCGATCCGTCGAGAACGTCGTGGGGCTTGATCCGTGCTTCATCGAATTCAGTCTGATTCTGTGTAGAGGGATATGAAGATGTGTTTAATCTTCTGTACCAAGCGAGGTTGATAGTTGGAACCTTTTTATTAAATGGCCCGTCGACCATTTCGTCTTCTTCAGAGGCCTAAAGATAGCTCAAAACTTTCCTAATTTCCTAATTTTGTAAGCTACCCGACCAAGCTCTCCCCCCCCCTCTAGCTTTTTTGATGGAATGGAATGTCCTCTTCAATAAGGGCGATTGGTTCTATTTCAAATCTAAGGATCTTTTGTTTTTCTCTCCTCCTGTAAGGAAACAGCTCATTCTTTGCTGACGACCTTCTCTTTGAATCCTTTTCCAACTCCACCTCTGGTTTGATTAGTACTGTTGTTTTTACAAACTAACGGTTTAATCATCCTTCACCAGTAAAAGCATCTCCAGCAAAATATCGAGACGGAGATTCGGGGGGGAGGGGGTGGAGGTGTTGTGGGCCTAATGGTAAGATGGTGAGCAGTGTATGAGAAAAGTCGAGATGAGGATCTGATCGTTATCCAAGATACAGTGCGTTTCATAATTATGAGGTACACCTACTAAAATATTGCTTTTTTCCGAAAAAGAGCCCAACGTGGGGTTTTGGTTCGCTATCAAATGTTCCACCTACAGTGCGTTTCATAACTATAAGGTCACCCTAAAATATTGCATTTCCGGGACCAGCAGCCAACTGGTGATTTTTCCACTATCACCAAATGATTCCCCACTACGAATAACCCCTGTATCGCAATTTTGGTGGGAGCAGCTTTTCTTCGAACTTTTTTGTAATTATTTTTCGATTTTTGCACCGTTTCATAATATAAGGTCACCCTGAGGAAAAGAACAATTACCTAAGATTAATGACAGATAAAATAGACATAATAATGTATGGTTCCTCCTTTATCAAGGGCAACATTGAATAGTCTCCGTGGCCTACCGGAATTGAGATTCCAAGGCAGATCACCATCGATTCACTTCCGTGATTTCAAGGCTTGCTTGTACACGCATGGTTGATACTGAAATTTTTAATGTGCCGATCTTAATGCTCTGTCATTACTCGTGACGAAGATGCCCCTGAGATGTCCTACTAGAACGCACTAGAAATTCAGAAAAATTTGTTCAGTTCATCAGGGTTTCGAGAGAAATGCTGCTTCTGGTTGAATGACCTACATGGGTACCTGTACTGTTCTGTATGACCACGTAGGCTAGCCGACTTCATCAGCTCAAGGAAGAGGTCAAATGTCCTCGCAAGGCTCTATGCTAATCTTTGGAGTCCATTATGCAGTTTATGGAAGCGAAATTTTGACACAACATCATCACAAAAAGCACCCACACCTTTCACATTTCCTTAACTAAAATTGCAAGCGCTGAAGTGAATCGGCCACCTTCGCAGTCACTTCAAAAGTGTTTATATTTCGCAGGATCTGTTTGTATAAACCAGTTTTGTCCAAAAAATACCAACTTTACTGGAATTATCTTGCTATATGGTGCGACTGTGGAGCAGACTCAACCTTGTTCAAACTCTCTTCAAGTTCAACTTTACGGGTTGAAGTTGTGCCACTTTGCAATGGCCACTGAGCCTTCGGACCATCTTTGTTGCTTTCCTGGTAATGTTGTTGCATAATTTCACCGCACTCCAGTTCATATTTTTCAAGATAGAAACCTTAAATCAGGCACGACGCCGATTTGAAGCGGAAATACTGCACGGGACAGCCCTCATAACTCTTCTCTAATCATTTATAGAAACCATTTTGTGGATGTTCTGATATTGTAGAATATCTGGAGACGTAGGAGCTTTCAATTATCCATGAGCAGTGCTAATGACTGTCCGAAGTTCTTTGGAAAGACTCGCGAACCGTGCCAAGCACCATGAAATGCATAAACTTTACCTTTTCTTCAAAAGGCGAGTACGAAACATTCCATAAATTTAGCTACTGGGTGTGTTTGTAACAAACATTCAATTTCACAGGCAGGTTGGTTGTTTCCGATAATGTAGTATTCATTTTCACAGGGTGACCTTATATTATGAAACGGTGCAAAAATCGAAAAATAATTACAAAAAAGTTCGAAGAAAAGCTGCTCCCACCAAAATTGCGATACAGGGTTATTCGTAGTGTGGAATCATTTGGTGAATCATTCAGTTTTTTTTTCAAATTTTCAATTTAATCATTTGAGTGGAAAAATCACCAATTGGCTCTTGGTCCCGGAAATGCAATATGTTAGGGTGACCTTATAGTTATGAAACGCACTGTATAAGTAACACCCATATCAAAATTTTGGAGAAAGCAGCTTTTCTTCGAACTTTTTTATAATTATTTTTCGGTTTTCGCACCGTTTCATAATTATAAGGTCACCCTGAGAAAAAGAACAATTACCTAAGATCAATGACAGATAAAAAAGACATAATAATGTATGGTTCCTCCTTTATCAAGGGCAACACCGAATAGTCTCCGTAGCCTACCGTAATTGAGGTTCCACGGTAGATGACCATCGATTCGCTGTAGTGTTTCCCTGGTTGCTTTTTCAGTTCTCTTGAAGTTCGTAACTGACCTCTATCCGCATAATTCTTTATGACAAAGACGCTCCTTAGATGTTC